TTTGAAAGAAATAATCGATGTTAATGAAAAATCAATATCATCTAAATTAACTTTTGATGAATTAAAAAAGAATAATATAACTTCTACAAATCTAATGGAATGGTCGAGTCCTATTGATCTTATCGAACGTTATGAAAACTTTTTGCAAATGAACACATCTTCATCAACTGAAGTATTTTATAATTGTACTCCACCATGGTTTGGATCAATTTGTCAATATAGATTTGTTTTAAATGAATCATTTTCATCTTTTATTCAAATGAGAATTGACGAGCCTCAATTGTTCTATGCAAATACAACAGTAACCTGTTATATACATATGAAATGTAGCAATCATTCATTTCTAACCTGTCTCGATTGGCGTGAAATATGTGATGGGAAAGTGAACTGTCTTGATGATGGTGAAGATGAAAAATATTGTGTTGAGCTTGAAATGAATCAATGTGAAGAAAACGAATATCAATGTCGAAATGGTATGTGCGTGAACGAAGAATTCTTTTCAGATGAAGGTATTGTATTGATACGAATTAGTAGTCCAGAGTGTTTGGATGGATCGGATGAAGCCCGATTTTTAGACCAGCGTTCATGTCCAAGAGACTCATCTTTTAGATGTGAAGATATTCTTTGTCGACAATATACTGATTTTAACTGCGGAGATGGAAATTGTCGTGCTGTGATCGCAACTCGTGGAATTATGCCATGCACAAATAATCGGGACCGAGCAATAAACTATTTTTTTGATTGGGACAATCTTGTAGATACACGATATTCTCGTTGTTTCAAAATTCTTATGTGTGTGACACACGTCGTGTCACAGATCCGCTTTGATAAATATTGCAAAAGCTTGTGCAATAATACACAAGAATGTAAAATACAAACTATTGAACATTGTCCACCTGCATTCATTGCACCTACCTTTCCAGTATGGGATGGTCATGTGAGATTTGGCTATTTTTCTAATGCAACATCTATCAAACTCTTTGGATATGAACCTGACTTTGTATGTTATAACAAAGATCTTTGTCCATTTCTCATTCCAACATTCACACTAGATAATCATACATGTTTACATACTAACCGACTAAATTTAACATCAAGTGATACTGAATATGACATATTTAGAGCATGTAATCAACTCTTTCAAAATGATAAGGAAAGCATCTGCCAAGGTTCAACTACTACAGTACGTTGTTTAGGAACAAATAAATGTATACCTACGCGTCGAATCATGGATGGATTTGCAGATTGTTATAATGCTTTTGATGAGTCAATTGCAGCTAACTCATGTGCGTTGAATGATAAACATCGTTTTCAATGTACATCTGAACAGAAATGTCTCTCAC